AGAGAGAAAGAACGAACGAACGAGCTCTGGTGGTCTACTGGCAAGAAGCTGTGTCCCAAATGTACTCATTTCAAATCCACCAGCAGCTCCATGGGAGAATGATGGTCAAATTCCTCCTGTGTAGTTTATTGCCTCTGAAAACCCACTGGAGGGTCAGCTATGGGTTACTTCTGACACAAGATACTTAATGACAAGAGCAATAAAAAATTAATTAGCGTATTTGCAAAAATTAGGTATTTGCAAGCAAACATATAAGGCTAGTGTTATTTGTTTAAAATAACAGTGGTAAGTAGTTGTACCAGCAACCCAAAGTCACGTGGTTTGAATTCAACAAAGAGAGAAACCTGGGAAGTCTCCTCCCATGAGATTTACCACCTCTGAAAAGCCACTAAAGGGACAATTCTAACTCCATGGCACATACCAACAAACAACACTCTTATGTATAGGAATACTCATAAAGAAACTGCATGTTGGTGAGATGAAAGTCTTGGGAAAACAGTGCTGCTCATTGGTAGATGTCTGGGTGGGGAAATTGCTCATTGAACACTGTAATCCTTTAACTAAGGAGGCATTCACCTCCCCATCTCATAAACCAACCTCTTTTCACCAAAAACACATACACACTTCCTCCCCTTGAGGTGAAACACATCACCCATCTTATTTTCAAATATGTTGTAAATTGCATGGGAGGAGATAGGTAGGCTTAACTTGCCTGAAGAATCTCAAAGAATGAAATAAAGCTGATTTATACAGATTCTGAATTCTTTTTTCAAGTATTTTGTCATACAATTAACCTTTGGTTAATACTAACCGCCTGGGTATACTCACCTAGGCTGGCAGTCCAATGTCTGATAATCTTCACACAAGCCCCAGGTTGAACTGTGCCAGATTTCCACCTTCACCCACCAGGAAATAATATTCAATGTACTTTTTTAAGGGGTTTTGAAGGGAGCCCTTTTGTAGAATTCATTAAGAACTCAACAACTACCAAGTTGCTTTGCCTCACAGCAACCCTGAAAGACAGAGTGGAACTGGCCAGCAGGGTTTCCAAGATTGTAAACCTTTATAGAAGCAGAATGCCTCATTGTTCTTCCTTAAAGAAGCTGATGGAGTCAAACTGTTGACCTTGATGTTAGCAGCTTAATTCCTTAACCACAGTGTCACCATGGCCCCTCTCTAGTACAATCACTGTGGTGGTGGTGGTGGTGGTGGTGTTTGGTGGTGGTGTTAGGTGCTATTGAATCAAGTACAACTCATAGCAAGCCAATGAACAACAGATCTGAATCTTGTCCTATCCTGTGCCATGCTTATTATCTCTAATATACTTGAGCCTATTGCCATAGTCAGTG